AATAAATTTTTATTTGAAATTGCAGCTAATATATTCTAGATCTTTTTCTTAAATATTAAAAATATTTGTGAATATATAACTGTTAGAATATAATTGTAGAAAAAAGAATATGCAACTTTTTCCGTGTTTTTATTACAATGTATATTTTTTAAATAAATTTATATTAATTTAAGTTAATTTATTAAATTAATTTATTAAATTTCTATTAGTTTATTAATTAATTTATTAAATTTATATTAATTTAATTTATATTATTAAATTTTGACTTGAAATTGACAAATAAAGCAACTAATATTCTAGATCTTTTTCTTAAATATTAAGAATGTTTGTAAGTGTGTAACTGTTAGAATACAATTTAAATTGTAGAAAAACTAAAGAATATACCAAAATTTTTTCCGTTTGTTTTCATGATAATATGTACTTTTTTAATGTACTAATAGAGTTTGACCCGTAATTGAAACTCGACCCATAACTGGAACTGTTACCTTATATTTTCCCCATATATCTCCCTCGCTGGAGGGAAGTTTGTCCGCGAGGTTCGCATCGTCGAAGCAGTTTTATCTTCAACTTCCGAGCGCGCAAACGATTATCGGGTACAGAGATTTGGATTTCGCGACCCCTTCACGTCCCGCGCGCAGCCCCACGGCATCGCGGCGCCCTTTGGAACTTTCAGAAATACGCATGGAGCCCGCGATGCATAATTCGCGCCTCGAACGACGGGCGTTTCACGCGCGAGGGTCGCGCGAGCATAATCCGGAGTCCAATTAGCGATAATTACGACGTGAATTGGGAATTCCTAATGGCGGGCGTCCCCAGTAGTTCATTCGTTCGGGCGTGATTTTTGCAGACGGCGTAATTCGAAGCGCAAATTAAATTCGTTTCTTGCTTGTAACGGCAGGCAACGGCTCGCTTGAAGTAACCGAAAGAATTTCAGGAAAGAATATTCCTTTCCTTTCCGTCACGGTGCGCTTCGACAGTCGCACGAGAAACGACGCTCTCGCCGTTAAGTCGTCATAAAACGCGGTCTAATTTTCCGCCTCGTGGACGCGACTACTCCGATTTATCCCCGACGCCAAGAGGATTAATGTAGGAATTGGTTAATAATTCGGTGCATTGGTTTACAATCTATACCGTGTTGGCATTACTGCTAAACCTGCTAACAATGATCGTTTTGTTCGGCGCAATGAATAATTCTCTACTACGCGAATCGCGTGTATTACGTGGACGACATGAAATGAACAGTTATTCGCATCGCGTAATCATATCCCGGCGCTCCCGCTTTGTCTGGAAATTATAATTCTCCCCCTCATTTCGTCTTCACCGCGAACACATTTGTACACTAGGATTCATAAATGCCTTTACATTTTTGGTATCTAGAGAATTGGATTTTTTCGATCTGGCGCATCGTTTCTCAATAAGCATGAATCGTGATTGTTAGCTACTGAAAGAACCGACAACTAACTAACAGTCACGATTCACGCTTACTGAGAAACGATGCGCCAGATCGAAAAAGTTCAATTCTCTAGAAACCGAAAATATAAAGGCATTTATGAATCCTATTATACGCAATATTTCGTGGCGTTGATTTCTGCTCGATAAACGCAGGAGGAGCTACAACAAATACCTTCATTCATGCATATTCATCGAATATTCGTCGCGTCGCGGACAATCATTAATTATTTTTACCGTACGTGTGTTGTTCGAAGTATCGAATTAATTAATACCTCGCTCTAACAACGTCATCTTCTTTGGCGAGGCGCCGCTGGCGTGAAATGACCGACTGTTACCCCTGTGTGGCAAAAACGTGCCGCCGCCCAAACTAGTTCGGCAAATTACACCGGTTCGCGACTCGACACGCTCGTGGAAACTATCGCCATTCCGGGCCGTGTTGCACAGGTGCACTTGGGAATATCCCGGCCGCACGACCGCGCGGCTTAATAATTTACTTATTAATTATTAATCTCAATTCGTGCGCGGGGCAATCGCGACGATTACACCGCGCGTCGTGCGCGTTGAATTTGCCGAGACTTGTCAAAACTGTTCCCTCGCAGTTTTTTTCTCGTAGCGTTTTTTAACTTGCGTACCGATGCAGCGCGCGAAGCGAGACGAATATACGTGAAACGTACGTAAAATATTTCAACGCGATCGCGCGCGCGAAATAACGCGGGAGGATCGCACGGACGAGCTTGAATAAGTCAGAAACGCACGCACGCCATCGTTCCTCGACGAAAGGCAATAATTTCACGAGGCGAAAAGGTATCCTCCTCCACGACCGCCGCCTTACGTCCCCAAAATCGGCTGAGAAAAGGGAATAACTCGGCGAGCGAGGGTGTAGCGGGGGCGAGTGGAGGCTGACGTTGGCACCTCGATGAATGAGGTCATTTGTAGACACGAGCATTACAACAGCCCGGTCGGCGGGTGGCGGAGGGACGCCCGCGTGGGAGGAGGGCAGTTTGCAGGCGGTGATTTAAAGGTCTATTGAGCGATGATGCCTTAAGATTACTCGCTCGCCGGAACATAATTCCCCGGCCTCCGGCTGCGCGTCCTCGCAGTAATTTACGGAAACTCGCTGGTAACATGTTAAGAATGTCGCTCCCCTTCGCCGCGGCATGCACGCGAGGAACTCCACCTGCGGAAATGAGGTGACCGCGGGGAAGAGCGAGACAACCCCGATTCTGGAAATCCGGAGGTCGTCGCCGGGCGAATTAAATATTCATTCATAGTGGGTCCTCTTCTATCTTTCGGAAATCTCGTCCGCCGAACCTTCGGGAAGAATACGACGGCTATTCTATTTCAACAAACGAGAAACCGTATTTTTTATTGGACACTGTAAATCAGGAATGTGACAGACGCACTAATTCCGAATATCACGACGCGATTGTAACAAGAGCGCCCGACGCAAACGCACAGTGAAGCGCGAGCTTTTTGAATTTTTCCAAATTTATTCACAATATGTATAGTATTTAACCCGTTTGTATATTTGTGCCTTTGTGATTGTAAAATTATTCCGTTGGCAACGATTTCTCTCTGTCAACCCGCGTCCTCTCCTCGACGCATAATCTCGAATTACGCGAGAAGGGAAGGGGGATGGGAGGGGGGGAGGGAAGAATCGAAATGAAATTTTATACGTGCTTTTTTCGATTAGGCAAACTTAATACGATTCTAACATTCCGGACCCGCCGACGCCCGGCGTATGTATCGAGTTGCACGATTCGCAATTATGCATTCATCGCGGTACTATGCGTTATTCAATGCGATATTGAATATCGCGTTACCAAACAAAACATTGCGGAATATCGGGATTTCCTCGAGTAATTGGAAGGCTTGTTACCGAAACTATTACCGCGATCGCATTATAATTACACTCTCTATGCCCAGGCGCTACGCTGCAGGTTTATCATAATTTCATGCACACCGTAAATAGGAAGCTTGTTAATTGAACCTGACCGTTATTTACTTGCGATGCTGCTAACTTCGCGTTCGCGACACCTTAATTATCTATGTTGTATACTTAGCGCACGCCTCTCTTGGCCGGACATTTGGAAAATCCGACCGCAGTATTACGGACGAACATAGTTTCGGGCGCGACGTGAAAAATAATACGGATGATGTCAAGCATTCGTGCTTGCGTAGAAACATTGTACTTATGAAATTTTCTAATTTCTGAATCTTTCGCGATTCTCTTTTTAGTCTCGAGAAATTCCATACAGAATTCAACACACTCTCCTGCCATTCGACGCGTCAAAGACGCGATATATTTCTATCTTTTTATTGTTGCGATCTACTGAAAACGCATTTTTCACAATTAAACTCACAGATTTTGCAATAACTTTTTGTCTCAAAAACATTTTAAGACTTCTGACTTCTCCTCGTGGTCATCTTGATTTATGACGTCAGAAGCGAGAGCATATTCAAAGTTCCTGCAAAGAACATGAATTTATTGAATTCATTTCAATTTTATTGAAATAAAAAGATGTATCTAAAAAAGGACATTTGCAATCGATTAAACGTATTTCCAAAATATTTTGAACACTTTCCTTTTGTTCTAACAATCAATAAATAACCGTAAAATTAACGTGATATGCAAATTAACGTGATATGCTTCTCTTTTAGTCTATATTTCCTCGTTGGGTTGTCACGTTAACTTTACAATCATTTATTGATTGTCAAAGCAAAAGGAAAGAAGTATAAGTGCACTTCAATACAAATGTAATTTTTTAGATATATTTTTTTAATTTAACGTACTTTGCAAGGAGCCTTGAATCTCAGTTTTCTATGATATCGCATATTCTTAATCTTTAGATGGAATAATGGAAGGGGAGGCTCAAAACGAGACTTTTATCCTGTTTTATCTCTACCAAAGATTTGTATTTTCTTTATACGTTGTACTGCATTTAGGCTTCTCTGTCTTTCAGTCTCTACTCGATACAGTCTCTACTCTCTACAGAGCACAATTGATTACTTGGCGTGTATTTATCACGTCTACAAGTGAACTAACGATTCACCCGGCACGTTAAAGATAGCAAAGACAGACAAGGGTCAAGTATACGGTCGAGGAAAGAGCGAGCATCGTCAGGCGGGCGATGGAGCGAGAGCGGGCGTCGTATCGAACTTTTGGCAATTCGTAACTATCGACCGGTTGGATGGCGTCCAGCCTCGCCAACCAGGGGGAATGCACGGAAGACCCTTGATGAGGTCCCCGAGAGTCGACTCCACTCTTTCCCCTCCGATCCCAGCCGTATCGAACCTGTCACCGGCGGCGCGAACTCTTCGCGGCCGTTCGTGTCTATCATAGAGTTTCTTGTCGGGGGCCGCGCCGAGTATGATGACCCGGGCTGGTGAATCCGAACTTTTCGTTCGCTCACCGTCGGAAAGTGGTCGAGGCGCTTCGATAACCCACCTGTCCCCCTCATTCCCTCGGCGGCGGATCACGAGAATTGACAAACGCGATCAATCGATCTCTATCCGATCTAACCGCGACGATTCATTTTCTGTTGCAGGATGTTGCTTCGTGACCTTTTACACCAGGAAGGCGGCGTTGGCGGCGCAAAACGCTCTCCACAACGTCAAGACCTTCAGCGGGGTGAGTCGACGATCGATCCCGAATTTTATTGCGACGCGCGTTACATAACCGCGGCACGAAGTGCGCATCGGTAGGCGCTACTGGGTCAATTTAATCGGATCGCCGACGATAAATACGTTACGGCTGAAAAATTCGTCACGGGCGGCGCCAAGACGTAATTGCGATTACGTGAAGATGTCAGCGAAGCGCGACCGCGACATCGTACATTAGCATAGGATGGCATCGGGGTTGATTATCTTCCGAACGGAATGCAAGTTTAGTCATCTCCGGATCACGACCCCTGCTGAATGTATCGGCGTTGTCGCCGATAGAAATGTTTGGATAGCTTCGGCGCACGCCGAGCGTCGAATCAATCGGCAGACGCATCCGTTTAGCCGAATAATGAACGTTTACGCGGATAATTATCCGAGTGTCGATGATTGACAGAATAATGAATATTAATACGGTTGATCGGTCGAATAAATTATTCAAATCAACGCGGCAGCTTGATGAATCTTCGACTAATCGTCGATACATGCGAATAATCCGTCACGAACGATATGATCCCAGTGCAGATATTCCAAACGATTGGTTTCTTTCCTAATCGCGGCTGAAATGTCACAATTGTTTGAACGATCGCAATGAAAAACTCGACGAACTTGAGGATGCCGAAGCTTCCAACGCTCGACATTCATTCGCGCGCGAACGATTACAGTACGCGCGCCTATCAATTTTGCAAGATGAATGCTGAAATTTAACGAAGTGGCCGGGAAATAAAAATTTTACCATTATACGAAGTATCGCGGGAGAATCGTGCCGTGTGCGAATAAAGAGAATTAAACAATCTTCCTGTCCTCGCTAATTGATTTAATTGGAACGTGGATTAGAGAAAATTTCAAATGACGCACTTTTAAGCATTTTCTTTTCTCTCTCTCTCCCTTTTTCCCTTTCCTTTTTTCTCTTCTTTTCTTTTTCCCTTCTCTTTCTCTCTGTCTCTCTTTCTCGAATATCCGAGACCAGGACTCCATTATGAAGCCCTCGATCCTCTTTTCGATTCGAGATAACGCCACCCTCGCCCGCCTGGAAAAATATTCCGTCGGAAAAGCGGCTTTCCTTTCTTCGGGTTTGGCGTCCCGTCGATTACAAGCGGCCGGGGGCCGAAGATATCGTTGAAAGTGAGCCCGCACGATAATTACAGTTTCCCTGGAAACTTTCGATGCAATTATGAGACGTCATTACGAGCATTTAACCGAGCAGGCCCGGCTATCCCGCCTCCATACGCGCGCGCGTTCACTCGCTCGCTTATGCCTGAATTTACGAGAATAATGATCATTGATCGAGAACGGAAGGGCGTGCTCAACATGCGACGAACCCGACGAAGCCGCACTCAGATCGCCAGCAATGTTCAATATTTTGAACGCGACTAAACGATGACAAATCGCATCGATTAAATACCGCTGTTTTATTCCATTAAGAAAACCTTACTTTTATGAAAGAAACAATAAAATAGAAAAGTTATCCCCTTAAATACGCGTATTCTGTATGAATACAACAGTTCTCTCTAGACACGAATATAACTTTTTTCCACGAAGACGTCTAACAAAGTCTCGCGCGACTTAAAGGATTAAGATTCACGGAACCGTAGACGCGTACTCAAAGTTTCAAGTTGCACGCTTAAAGTGACTCTCTGTGCGCGGGCGCGTTAAATTCGCGAATTGTTTAAAGCTGCGCCGCGTATATATGACGGCGTTGTATTGCAGGATGCTTTGTTCGGGGAAAGAAAGCTTCATTGATCCGTTGAGCGGAGCGAAACAACGAGCTTTCCTTGCGCATCGTGCGGCGGCAGCATCTTCTTGGCGTCGCTTCAGGCATCTCCTCGGCACCGCGCTCACGACACGAAAGCTGCACTACCGTGACACTCAAATCGCGACTCGGACGATACATCGTTTTCCAGTGGACGTGCAGTGCCATGAGACTTTGTTTTTCTTCCTCATAACGTACAGTTCGCACGAGCCTTATCGAGTCACCGCACGTTTAAACGTTTCTTCCGCGCCAATGAGACCGGTTACACTGACGGGGATTTGCACGGGGAGGGGGATATCGAGAGCTTTTATTTTTAGTTCTCGCAAATCGATCCTTCCGACGAGCGAACGGAACAAACCGCATAATGGAGACGACGCGCGACGTGGTTTCAGTCCGTTGCCTTCCCGCGTGTGCGATTTGCTGGAATTGTACGTAGTAGTTTGACGCGTCACGCGATTAGGGTTTCGCTACGGCGGCAACGTCCGACTTCGGCGCTAACACGAGTCACCGTCGTGTAACACGATGTACTACGGCGAAACAATTATTCGGAACGCTTGGCCCGATCACGGGACGATAAAGCGAAATAAGAGAGAGAGAAAGAAAAACACTCAACGGCCGCCTTGAAATTTATGCTGGAAACAATCATTCTCCGTGATATAACTCCGACGATGCGCTTCAATTTACCCGATGCCGCACAGTATGCCGTTACACCGAGAAAGAAAGAGAAAGAAAGAGATAAATCGGCTCCTTGCCGGTCAACTCGTGAAAGCGAGAGCTTCCACTCGACTTCGTCCGCTCCTAAAGAAGGTCGCGTGCCACGGAAGAGGCCGAATCTCGAGACCTCCGACGCCGGCTGTTAATTAAGGGGGTTAAACAGTCGGAAGTCGAGCGGCTGCTCCTCCGTTGAGAAGAAGAGAGCAACGTAGCGAGCAATGCTCGATCGGGGGTTAGAGAAAAGAAGCTTGGCAGTACGCGGTGGCGGAAGGAGAGAGTTACCTCCCTGACGCGGAGAAAGGAAAAGGAGAGAACGCTGACAAGGAATTGGAGCGTCCTCGAGCAGCGCATAAAAAAGGGAGAAAAGCACGGGGAAGGGACAGGGAGCGAGAGAGAATAGGAAGTACAGGGTGGAAGAGGGAGGTCGAGGAGAAAGGGTGAATTGCAGAACGACGTTTTCGCAATGAAAAGGGTTGACTGAGTATAAGTGGGTAGCTGAAAGGAGCAAGAGTCGAAAGAGAAGGAGGAAGAGAAAGAGCTGGCGGAGGCGGAGAAAGAGAGGAGGAGGAACCAGGAGGTGGGTTGCTCAGGGGGTTACAAACTCCGAGTGGGGGAGAGAGTAAGGAAGCAAAGGAGAGAGAGGGGGGGAGGGAGAGAGAGAAGTCAATGTGGGCGGAGAAAGGGTGGTAGATAGGGGGCGAACAGAGAACGGCTTGTGCATTTGAAGGAGTTTAGCTTTTCTCGTATCAGATTTCGTTTCCACGAGTGGCGTTGAGTTGAGAGGTCTGTGTTGGCTTGGAGAAATGACTAGAGAGCTCGTTCCTCTTTCCTCTCTTTCTCTCACTCGTTCTCACTCCCTTTCTCTTTTCCTCCTCTTACTCTCGACTGCTTCAACCCTCTCTCGTAGCCTCCCACCCTCGTCGAGTGCATCAACGCGTCCCAACGTTACTCCGGTGCTCTTGATGCCCAACGGCAGATTTACAACGCACGAGAAGAGATCCTTCTATTTCCTACGCGCAATTCGCACGGGATTGACTCGGTTCGCGACGAGACGATTCGTGGTGTGGAATTGAATTTTTAGATTCTTCTAAGCGCATAATGTCGAGGTCACAGCGTCGTAAATCAGCAAGGTGTAAAAACGACGCTACCGAATTGGCCGTCATGTCGAATACTTCAAAATAATGTCTGAAAAAAATGCCCGCCATTTGAAAAGCCTCACCGAGATCCGCGCTTTCAATATTGAATCAGCTGCGTTTCGTGCATCGTCAAATTCGCTGGAAAAACGTCGCGTGCGACTTTCGCTGCCGGCGAGGGGTTCCGTGCGTGCAAATCGGTGTCGACACCGGGAAAGGGAAAAAAGGGGGAACTTATGTCTATAATCGAAACAGCGGAGTATCTCGCGGCGAAACTGCGGCAAGGAAGGGGGAAGAGCGCGTCTGGCTCGCAGCCACGAAATTGGCGGAAAACCGTGGCGAATTTACAAGCGTGCATACCGCGCTCGCAACAATGCGTAATATTATTAAAGCGCGGCGGGACGAGAGATATTGGAACGTTAGTAGGCGAGGTACAAATGGAAAATGAAACCATTATATGGCGAACGCTTCGGCGCGATCGATGGATGCACGGAAATGGCGTTACAGAAAATCCCCGCGTAATCGATGCCGCGTCAGCCGTTCTTCTGGAAAATCCGTGTAAGGCTGCGTAATGTGAATTTACAGTTGAAAACGGAAAATATCGCGATTTACGGGACGGGAAGATCCTTTTTTCATTTTAGAAAAAAAATATTTCAATCGCTTTTCGGACGAATCATTTCCCCTAAATGTTTCGTGTAATTGTAATATTGCTCTTATTCCATCAGAGACTTATTCAATTCCCAAGTAATTTTATTCCCGCGAACATTGAAAAACGGCAATATCACCGCCGAGAGATCCCATCGAATAAAAGTAAATTCGATCGACAAAAAGCGGCGAGTGTACGAGTTCAGACTGGAAAAATGAAAAAGGCGTCCTGATCGATGTTCGGAGGCGAAAGTAACATTTCTTTTCTCGTGCTTCCTTGACGCCGTCCGGTCTCGTCTCTCCGCAGAGGATTCTAAAATATTCAGGATAATCCCGAAGCCAGTCGACCGAACATTAACGATCAATATCGATGGAATGTCCACTGAATTTCAAGACCGATCGACTATGTCGGATTTGAAAAAGGAGCGCGGAACTGCGAATGGAACAGAGAGAGAGAGGGAGAGAGAGAGAGAGAGAGAGAGAGAGAGAGAGAGAGAGAGAGAGTAGAAAGCGGGAGAGAGAGGGAAATTCGATAAACCGCCATGACACTCGATAATTCACGTTAATAATACGGTCTGCCCGTTCGATCACATACATGCAGATGTATGCATAATGCGTGCACAGCTGTATTGTCGCGATAATGCGATGAGTCACGCGGTGACACTTTCCCGCGGGATAACGATAATCGATACAGCCTTTGCGTGAACGTCGCGGTGACTTTGTTCA